AAGGTGAAGGTCCGTGCTGCGCACGGATGGCCGGTGGAGGAGGAAAGGTGTTCTTGGTGCGCCTGGGGTGCAGGGGTGACTCACGGCGGGGGGCCTGGTGGGGATGGGAGTCATCTCTCTGCAGCACAAGTGTTCTCTGCACGAACGAGGCGGCTGTCAGAGAAGGTGCAAACATGCCCCAGGACAGAGAAGGTGCAAACATGCCCCATGGGCCTGTGACCTTCCTCCCGCTGACCTGGCAGGGCTCTGAGGCTTGGACCTCCTCCCTCTACCCCGGTGTTTTGTCTTGGTTACTCCCACCAATCACTGCTTGTTGGAGGTCTCCTCCCTGTCCCGGACCAACATCTTCTTTCCTTGTGTCTGCTTTCCATTATTTCCCCTGGGTTGTCCCTCTGGATACTCTTCTCCCGAGGGTGCTCTGTTCAACACCGACTGCTCCCCGCTACGAGGTGTGCGTCTCGAGGGCGGGGACTGTGCCCAAAGCACCTACGACGGGAGCCCCCATGCCAGGCACAGCCCCACTGCCTGGCCTAGAACTTGGCAAGCATTTCCGTCAGCATTTATACCTCTGAGCAGTGAAATGTCCTACTGGCAGTCCCCTGGCCATCTAGGGATGGAAACAGAGGCTCAGGAGCTGGGCAGAGACTAAGAGGACCCTCGTTTCCCGGGTAAGGAAACAGGGGAGGGCAGCGTCACTCACTGAGCTGGGAGGCAGCTGGGAAGGGAGCTCAGAGGTCTGGACTCCCAGTCCTGGTTCTTGTAACAACTCCGCGCTGTCTGAGGCCATGTGCGTGCCAGACCTGGGGGCGGGGAGGAGGCCTGAGGGGAGGCACGAGGGTACAGAGCACCCAAAGGCTCTGGGGCTCCATCACCCTTGCAGCTGGGAATGAAGGAGCCTGAAGGGCACAATCCATTAAGCACCTGACTCCTGGTTTCAGCTCGGGTCACGAACTCGGGGTCTTGGGATCTAACCCCGCGTCGGGCTCAATGCTCAGCTCGGAGTCTGCCTGGGACTCTCTCTCAAATAAACAAATAAATCTTAAAAAGAAAAAAAGAAGCTGCTCACAGCATGCTCACGGCAAGGAGGCCACTGAAGGGTGAGCTGTGTGGGTTCCCATGGCCGGGTACCCGGCAGAGTTTGGGGTCATTGGCAGGGGACCTGGGGGCCACTGCATGAGCTAGTCCCAGGGTGAGCAGCTCCCCTTCTGAGCCCCTTGGTCTGATTAACTCCCTTCCCCTTCCAAGAAATCTCTCTGGGGGAGGTGCCCCTCCTTGGGCTCCTCGCTTTAGAGCACCCCCGACCCCCAGGGCACCACAACCACCCAGCTCAGAGCTGGGACTCTGGGTGCATTTGCTGACTCACAGGCTGCAGTTTGATTCACTGACTCTGTGAGAAGGAAGTGCTGGTTCGACCCCACCTCCCAAGGTCATGGCCAGTGAGAGCACCGCAGGGTACCTCTTCTGCACCTGCTCCTGCCTCCTCCCGTTCCTGCAGAAGCCTGTGGACCCTGCAGCCTGCACCCCAGATGCCAAGCCAAGCTGGCGTCTCCGGAGCCACCTTGCTACCCCACTGGTTCTAGAACCATCCTCCCAGCAATCTGGCTCCCAAAGGCTGTGTTGGAGCCATTCACAAGAATCTCTCAGAAATCCTCCCCTAGGACTCCAGGCTGTGAGAGTTAAAAAAAAGACCCGGGTTTATCACTGACTTTTCCTTTTAATGGTTTTACAGTGACATGAAATGCTTTTGTTTCCTGAGAGAAGAGGCATGTTTCAAATGAATTATTAACCAAAAAGAATTGGCCGTGAGCAAGAAATCCTCCATTGACTCTGGAGACAAATGCAGACAGACAGCTGGCTGGCAAGATGCTATCTCTTACCGCCCCTGGCAGAGGTCAGCCCGGGCAGCGGCAGGGGCCATCTGCTCCCCGACACAGCTCTAACTTGGGCTGCCCCCTTCTCCCTCCACCGAGGGGCTAAGCCTCTCCCACACAGGCCTCCTTTCAGTCCAGTTCTGGGAGTGTTGACCTGTTTCTGCCTCCACTTGACCCTGAACGAGCCCCCTCCAGTCACTGTCTGTCCTTGTGAGCTGGGATGACAAGGGCTGGAGGGCTGGGTCTTCTTCCCCTGTCCCGGGGCCGGCGGGGGGCTGTGGCAGAGCAGACATCATGCTCGGTGTCCTCGTCTCTACGTCTGCCCCCGGCACCCACTACGTCCTCCCTCTGCCCTGTGCCCTGGGAGGCTGACGCCTACCACTGCGTGTCCTGGGCACCCCTGTTCCTCAGGTTTGGTCAGTGAGAGGCACCGAGGGAGGGTGGAGAGGGTAGGCTGTGTCTCCCCTACCTTTCCTGTTTGGGGGCTCATCTCCATCTGTTCCAACCACAACTCCTGCTAAGCGGCTCCTCTTGAGTCTCAGGCTCCCCAGGCTCTCTAGTTCCTGTGGCACCATTTCCTCCCCTTGTCCTGGTCCTCAGGGCGCTGATGGCCCCCACTGCTACTAGTCCTGGAGTGCTTCACCCACCCCCTTTATTCCCAGGACCAGCCTGAACTCCTGGAGGAAGCCCCGCCCACACCCAGGGAAAGAGCCCCGCCCACACCCAGGGAAGGAGCCACGCCCACACTCCTGGAGGAAGCCCCGCCCACACCTCTGGAAAAGAGCTTCGCCCACACCCCTGGAAGGGATCCACTGAGCCATGGGGCCTGAGTTCTGTGTCTTTCCAGGCCATTGACAGATCCCGGAACCAAGAGCTCAGAGCCTGTGGAAGGGGACAGAGGGCAGACAGGAGGCCCCTAAGGCTGCTCTGAGGGGAGGTGAAGGTGCACCCCCACACACCCTCCTGGGAGACCCGCAGCTCCGCTGAAACCAAGCCCACCACAGCCACAGTCAACTAGTAAAGTGACTTAGCGCTCCTCTTGCCCTCCTGATGTTGGAACAGACAGCACGTTTCTTCAGAAGTTTGGGGCAGACAGGGAAGTGGTCTGAGAATGCTGCCTGTCTCTGAGGGGAAGGCCAGTGGGAGGGGCGTCCTTGAGGGGACAGTGGCCCCCTCCCTGGCAGGGCTACTGGTGAGTCTTGGATGCTCTTCCTGGCAAACCTCCAGTAGCTCCCTTTGCCTTCCGAGTCCCAGCAAGCTGCTCACCTTGGTGGGCCAAACCCCTCCCCCATCAGGCACACCCTCCAATCTCATTTCCCACAGTCCAGGAGCTTCCTGGTGTCCTGGCGCCTTTGCTCATGCAGGTGCCTTGGTCTGGAAAGCCTCCCTGCTCTGCTTCTCAAAAGCCTCCTCCACAGCAGCAGGCTCTCAGCTCAAATGCTCTGTCATCTGGATCTGAGTTAGCCATGACTCTTCTGGGCACTGCCATAGGCTGCCAGCAAGCCTCCCATAGCCTCATCGCCACCCGCCTTGTACCGCGGTCATGGTCATGTGCGTATCTACCCCCCACCGTCCTTCAGTCAGGTGAGCTGCCCACAGGCACAGTCTGGATCTCATCTGTCTCTGTCCTCAGAGAGCCCGGCACACAGTAGGTGCCCGTGAACCACCTGGGAATCGGGCTGACTGTGTCCCCGGGGAGTCTCCCAATGCATCTACCTTGGTTTCCAAGGCCAGGCCTCCCTCTGAACTGCAGGGTCTGGGAGACTCGGGCCTTTCTGTCCCCGTCCTCCTATCTTCTAAGGAGCACAGCCACGCCCCAGGTACTGGGCGCCCTTGAGGAAGGGCAGCCCGGAATAATGAGGTCTGTTCTTCGCTCAGTATGAGTGATACAGAGGCACGGTCAGGGCTGGGCTTTGGAGTCATGTTCAAATCTGGAGTCCACTGTTCCCTGGTTGTACCATCCTGGGCAGCTCCCTTCACCCCCTTTGAACGTGGTTCCTCGTCTGTAAAATGCAGCAGATTGGAAAAAGGTGCGACAAAGATGAACTAAGGGAATGTTAGGGGGCCCAGGAGCCCCCCCACCCCTCCCCCACTTGCTGGAGATACTGGGCCACAGCTACTCCCTTGCGACTTGTCATGGTTTTTGGACATTATCTGGCAACTGGAGAGCAGGGGGTGGAAGGGGCTCTTGGCCAGGACGGAGATCCCTAGGGCTTGGCCGGTCCACCTGGAGCTGCTGTGCCTGGGCCCTGTCCTCCTCAAGTCTTGCCATCTGGCCGGTCCCCCTCCGTGCCTCGTTGTCAGACTTCTAACCTGCTATTTTACTCTTTCTGCTTTTGAATTATTCAAGTGAAATCACATAGAACAATGAATCAAAAGGATAAAGTGAAATAGCTTAGATGTTAGGACTGTTCTTAATAAACACCCCCTAACTTTGGGCCTCTGGGAAATTTCAAAACCTTTATTAGAAATATAATGAACAATGCCTAGGACCTTTAGGTGTTTTGCAACATTTTTGTTTGTCTTTTGTCTCTATCTCCCCCCGAGTTCTGGGGAAGCTGGTGTGAGAGGGGCACTTTTTGGAGGCCGGGCAGCCTGGAGGTCAGGGGACCTATGGGGGAACTGCTATGCCGTGATTCCTGTAGGGGGAGGAGGCGTTCACCCCACGGCCCATTCTACCAGACTTAGGGGCCCCAGATATAGCTTAAACCTCCTCAGACCCCAACGGCAGCCACACTCGGCTGCAGACCCCAGCTCTACAAGGCGGGTGGTGACTGGTGACCATTTTTGAAAGGCAGAGTGAGTTGGTCCTTTTTTGTTTTGAACCGGTGTCTGCATTTAGAAGCCAAACCAATATGGTGCCTCTCTCTGGTGGCTCCATCCCCCACCCTGCAAGGATATGCGGACTCCCAGGTCCTAGGCGCCTGGAGTGAGGTCTCCAAGGCAGGGCCTGTTACTTCCAGGTAGGGTCACTATAGATAGATAGATAGATAGGCATTCACTATACATTTTTTCTGCTTATTAAATGCTTAACAATGTTCAAGGCTCGAAGAAACATGTAGGGGTGGACAGAGCGGCCCCCAGCCCGGGCAGAGCCCCCTCCAGGCTCAGAGCCCTGTGAGCACTCACCTTTTGATGGCTTTGTAGCAAATGATGACGAGCACAGTGAGAAACACCAAGGAAGCGCAACATACCGCGATGACGATGGCCAGCCCCGACCACCAGCTTTCCTCCGCGGGGCACGAGGTAGAGTTGGGGGCTGAAAGACAGTAACACGCTGAATCTCCCTGGGGTGGGAGGAGCAGGTGGTGGCTGCGTCAGAGGGGGACCGTTGTGGGTGACACGAAGGGTGTGGCCTCCCCCTCATCCATCCTCTGCCTTTCCAGGATGAAGGCTCTGGGACCTGTCCCGCCGTCTCCACCCCCACGCCGGCGGCAGGTGACATCATGGCTGGCCCTGGGCCAGACATGTGCTCTGAGCAGGGGTAAAGCACCGAGGCTCGGGCCGTCCATCCTCCCTTGGCATGAGCTAACTGACAGCAGGGTCAGGTTTAATTTCCCATGAAAAATAACAGAACATCTCATTCTCTCAGTTGAGGCATTAAATCCACTTCCTCCCAGGGTGGGGGTGGGGAGCAGGGCTCCCAGGGCGTACCGGGCAGGAGGAAGGAGAGAAAGTATGGGAAGCCAACTCCTTCTAAGAGGCAGGCGCTGTCGCTTCTTGGATTTGGCCCACGCAGTGAGGACCCGCAGCTGCCTCCATTTGCACGGGTGGCCAAAATCTGGAAAAGTCTGTCACTGACAAAGCATCTGACCCTGGATGCCATTGGGCCTTTTGGTCATTACTCAATCCATGGAGTGTCTGGGGGGTGAACCTGTCCTCCCTCTGCTTCACTCTTCTGAGAAAAGCAGAGACATCACATAGCCTCATCCCAGAGGCTCTGAAACGTCCGGACACAACTGGAAACAAGTGCCACAAATTGCAAAAGAAATTTGGGAGGGGGGAGGAAAGGGAAAAGGAAGAAGGGAGAAGCGGGAGGGAGGGAAAGGGAGAGGGGACTGGTGAGGAATTGAGGGACAGATGGATGGACAGATAGACACCTACTAGCTCTGGGCAGGTCTTCAAGACCAGTGATTGTATGTAAAGGATCCAAACCATGCCCCAGGCTCTGTGTGCACTGAATGACAGACACCTTCAGGGGCGCCACAACATGTGGGGAATAAATGAATGATTTCCCAAGGATACCACAGATGGCTTCATCTCCATCGTCATTCTTGTCATGGACGTTATTTTTGCCGTAATCATCGAGGTGTAAATCCCATAGGGGACTCTCACCCATCGGAAGTGTGTGGTCTGGTCAGCTTTGACAAATGCGTCCACCTGCCTGAGCCACACCACTATCATGACATAGAATATTTCCATCACCCCAGAAACTTCCCCCGGGCCTCCATCTAGTCAATCCCTGCCCACAGGCCACCACTACTCTGCTTTCTTAAATCATCAATTAGATTTGCATGTTCTTGAAAGTCAGAAAACGGAACCAGGCAGTGTGTATTTTTTTGCTCCCTTTGTTCAGCAAAATGTTTTTAAGATTCATCCACAAATTTCTATAGTTCCTTCTTTTTTCTTTCTTTCTTTTCTTTTTCTTTTTCTTTTTTTTTATTGCGGAGTGGTATTCCCATCTGTGAATAAGCCACAATTTGTTGTGGATTCCTAGGCTGTTTTCAGGTTTTGACTTTTGTGGCTAAAGCTGCTAGAAACAATTGCATACGTGGTATAGACATGTCTTCATGTTTTTCTTGGCTAAACATCTAGTAGTGGGCTCACTGGGTCCTAGGGGGTGTGTGCGGGTAACTTTATAAGGAGCTGCCATGCTCGTTTTCCCAAGTGCTTTTTCCCTTGCACATGCCTGCCGGGAATGAGGAAAGAGGAACCGGCAGGGCGTGTGGTTATGGGTTATGGAGTTGTTACCAGACTGTGGCATTGGTGCAAGCTGGGCAGGGAGATGCAGAAAGCCATGGTGGGTTTTGCAAGGAACAGGTGCTAAAGCCCCGTTAACAAAGGCAAGGTCCCCAGATGTGGGGCTCATCTCAGCACACAACCAAGCAGATTCAGAAATGCTTCCCGAGAGATGCCCAGGACAGGGATGTCACCAGCCACTCAGCCAGGGCAAGATCAGACTTTTAGGAATCCCAACACTTGAGAAGATATGGAATAGGAAATTCAAAATAGGAACAAACTCTAAAACAAGGGAAAGGAGATTCAAGAGGATTCTCATTTTTGTCGTGATGAATTTCTTCAGGGTTTTTTTTGTTTGTTTGTTTGTTTTTGTGAAATACTAAACACAAACCTTTCTTTCCCCACCAAGAGAAGCCTGGTTCCCTCCCTCCTCCCCGCCTAGTTACTCGTTTTGGGGTGTCCCTGGCTTAGCCGAGTAAATCCAGGCCCTATCTTCCTTACAGTGATCACTGCAGAACAGTCTAAAATGCAACAGGGGTTGAATTCATGGGGTCCCAACCCCAAAAGGCTTGCCTCCTTGTTTTCATTGTAAAGGGAAGTAATTTTGGTTTCTGTCGATTCTGTCCCAGGCTCTAACACTTCTGGGCCAAGTCTCAAGGGGACCTTCACACCTGCCCACCAATGGCCGACAGGTGGCTGGGGCTCACATCACCAGTGTGTATCCTCAGCCGGGGGCAGTCCCCCTCCAGAGGGCACTTGGAAATATGGGGTCGAGGGCTGTCTCTGGTTGCCACAGTAAGTAAGCCCAGGAGCTCCCGAAAACAACAGCGACCCGGATATTCATTCCTACAAGGTAGAATTGTCCCTCCAAAAATGCCACCAGGGCCTTTGTTGAGAAATCCCATCAACTGGAAACAGAAGGGTTGATTCTAACCCTCATCTGGAATTTGACACTCAATCTCCGAGCGCCTCTTGTGATGGTCTTTACATCCAATGGTAACGAGGGGGAATTTCCTTCCTGCTTGCATTTTTCAGACACAATAGACACAGAAAGAGGGGAGTCTGATTTGAGGGGGTCCTTCTGCTTCGGGGCCCCGAGACGATGCGGCAGTGTACTGCTCAGCACACGCTCGTGGGAAGCTACTCAAGGCAGGAAGCTAGTGCATATGAAAAGAGGGAGGAATTTTGTGGAGCTAGTCCAGGGCATAAATCTTGGATTTTGCCAAGAAAACAGCTCTTGTTTGTGTAGCTCCAGTCATTCTTTGCGTATTAGGAAGGATCGGGGACTGTTAGAGCTAGAGGAAGGCTAAGACGTGTCATTTCAGAAAAAGGACAAGCAGGGACACTGGGGATCGAGAAACATCTTTCGCAGGGGCAGGGTTGGGACACCAAGCTCTTCCTGAACTTCCTTCCTATGGTGTGGCCAGTACTCCCTTGCAGACGTGATAGGCTTAGCACGTGAGCAGACCGATGGTGCATATCTGAGAGGGTAGCATCGTCAAGGTGCTTATTCATTCCTTCATTCCTTCCTTCCTTCCTTCGTTCCTACATCCAGCCATTTACTGAGCACCTGCATCCCTGGCACCATGCCGGGATCTGGGAGCGCAAAGACTGGATTCGCTAGAACCTGGGCCCTTACCAGGTCTGGAACCGGCTGCCCACGGCTCACTGCGGGGCTGGCCAGAACCTGGCTGACTTGCTCAAGGAGTCAGCGGGCCTCAGCGGGCCCCAACAGCCGAGACGTGCGGATTTGCTAACGTGCAAGTGAAAGCCATTGCGGCTGAGGGGAGGAGGCCATTCGTGCTAAGGATCAAGGGGTAAGGCGATGACTGCGAGAGGCAGGTGGTCACAGGGGGAAGGCTGAGGCAAGCAGGGTGGGAACTCCCAGACTGGAGGCTGCTGGTGCTCCCCCTGCCCCTCCGCCCACCCCGCTTCCTCGGGTGCCAAGATTCTGCAAACACTGACAGAAAGGCAGGAGCTGTCCTGACCTCAGTCCTGACGACTCAGGGGTCTTAACACCCTGTCTCCTGGGACTCAGTAAGGCTCAGCCTGCTGTATTCATTAAACTCTCTTGACATCCGTAAAGATGATAAAAGTGACAACCAGAGAGCTCCACGTAGAACCACCCGGGCTCAGTCTTGCTTTATCAAAGGCGCTGCTTTCTTTCCAGTCAAGAAATGCATCATTTAAACTTCTATTTGGGGGACGCTCGGGGTGGCTCAGTTGGTGGGGTGTCCAACCCTTGGTTTTGACTCAGGTCGTGATCTCAGGGTTGTGGGATCGAGCCCCAGTCGGGCCCCTCGCTCAGCGCGGAGTCTGCTTGGGACTCTCTCTTCCTCTGCTCCCTCCCCCCATCACCCCGTTCACGCTCTTTCTTTAAAATAAATCAATCTTTAAACAAACAAACAAAACCCTTAGTTTGGGGACTTTTGCTTCCAGCTAAGATGTAGTAACCGGGCCAGATTCTCTGTCTTCCACATGCCTGAAACATCCACAAAATATGGTTTTCAAAAGAGCAGACCTCAGGGCAACAAAGCGTGCAGATCTCTGAAGGACAAGAAACGAAGGAGGGGAGTTCTGGCTGCCCCAGCTTACTGCCCGAGAGTTTGCCAACAGCGGAAGGGAGAAGCCAGGTGGGCCCAGCCCACTGGGTGAAGTTGGGGAGATGGAGCCTAGATTCTAGGGAGTGAGCAAGTCCAAGGAGTGAGGTCCCCACCAAGGGGGAAAACCAAGAGCCTATCAGGAAATCCACCAACGATTATATAATTCCAGGAGCGGCAAGTGCTAGAAAAGAGATGAAAAAAGAGGTCAAGATTCCCCCACACCTTGTGGAAGTGTCTGGAAAAGGAGCAGCTGTGGACAGAAGTGAACAGAATCAAGGAGCCTGAGCAGACCAGCGAGGTTCCTGTGGGCTGGTGGCCCAGTGCCCCAGGGGAGCTGTGGACATCGGGCAGTTCCCCCCAGTTGCTCTCAGTGACCACAGCCTTCCCTGTATTGCTTGCGGGTTTCTGTGACCATGAGATGGGACAGCAGAGGCAAGGTTCTCGGGGACACCGAGAGAAACAAGCATCATCTGCTGAGCCCCGATTCCAAGGCACATGACTAAGTCACAGCGGTACAGATCCCACTGATGCCCTCTTTTGTAAGTGGGGAAACTGAGGCCGCACAGCCAGCAGAACAACCAAGATTTGAACCCAGGTGTGCTTGCGACAGCACTCACGGTCAACTCAACACGTACTAATGTGTGACCCGGGACCTGCCACTTGTGTCTCCCCGGCTGGCTGCACACAGGAGACGCCGGATGGACAGGAGGGTCCCTGGGGAGGGGGGTGTGGATGAATCAAGGGGACAGCAAGCAGTGGGGGAAACAATTCGGTTTTGCAAGGCATTTTTTAGTGGTTCCTAGAAGGGAGTTATAGCCCTGTCCTTCGTTTTAGCATGATTTTTCTGTTGTGAAGGAGGCTCTTAACCCTGAGTGTGGCCTCCTGGAGGGGACAGCCACTTACTCCCGCAGCTCCAGGTTTCTGGAGGGCAGCCTGAGTGCCAGGCCCTGCCGGTGACACCAGAGGTGTTCAGTGGACCTCTGGGGGCTCATGAGACTTCTCTCCCAAATTTCAAAGTCTTTGGTGACTCACACCAAGGTTGCCCGTTGCCTGACCAACTCCTGACTGGAAGGGCCGCACACCAAGCTGGCCTTGATAGTGCGGGCAGGAGATGGGCCCACAGCCACCCTCTGCGATCTACCCCCGGCAGCCCCACTCGTGGCCCATCAGTGGGTCACAACCACGGAACGCAGGCCTGTGGAGGGCCCCCTGAGCGGCGCCCAGCTTCCTTTGAGGGGCTGATGCCCATGAAGGTACTCCCCGACCAGAGGACCCATTCAGCCCTGACTGTGGGAAACCAGTCAGAAGCTGGTCCGGGCCTGGTGACATTGCCAGGTCCTTGGGGCTCAAACATTCATGCGGCAACAGAACCTATTTGAAGGACCTTTGGTCAAAGGAGGGGGGCTGGGGCTCAGAGGAGGGGAGGAGTTCAGCAGCGGACTTGTTCTCACGTCTCAGCCCTGCCTTAGGTCCTCCCCCCAGGACCCAGAAGGATGTGGGTTCTCAGAAGTTCCTGCACGGCTGATGGCCCTGTCCCTGCCTCTGCCTTGGTGTCCCCAGCCCCACTGCGGAAGGAGGGGTGTGGGGCAGCCTCCTCCCCCAACCCCTGCCCCCACACAGAGCCCATTGTTTCCGACTGGGCCCACTGCCATCCATTCACGGGCATAGGGCGCCCACGGAGAGGCCTGTGCCAGGGGCATCTGC